AATGACTCAGTTTACTGCACCTCCCAATGGACGCCGTAGATAGACAATAGAGCGCACGCGCACAGACACGATTTCGTCTGCAGTCCGAATCAGCTCGTCCAACGCTCCGCATCTCGATCTGCATGCACCACTCACACTCGCTGCACGCCGCCACGGTGCGTCCATCTTTTCTTGCTTGTTGCCACTCGCTAATCACCCTAAACCTGTCTCACAGGCGCAGCTCTCCATTTAGGCCAGAACGCCCCGGGAATACACCCCTCAGTCAACGGTTCAGTTCACCGCACCTCCGATTGCGAGACGTAGTCAGAGTATGCAGTGTGCACGTACAGATGCAGCTTCGCCTGCGGCTCAAATTAGCTCATTCAACGCTCCCTAGTGCACTACTCACTCGCTACACGCCATCGCAGTGCATCCATCTCCTCAATCCAGTTACCTACTCACGCTGACAACGCTCACGCCCACACTCTTAGCCAATCAATCTCACAACCTGTCTCACCCCTAATTGATGTAGATTATAATGTATTTATATAATGTATCAATATAATTATAAACTGTTATTTCAATAACAAACGGATATAAGGGAAAATAACTATTATTAAGATATTAAAATGATTTAAGAGCTTTATAAACAATTATAATATTTGCCATAATTAACAAGAGTGATTTAACCTTGTAATTTTAGAGATCCATTGTAATGCATTTTATATATTGCCAAGGAGAATAACTCTTATTTATGTTTACAAATTACACAAACCTTTCAGACTTTATAATGAATTGTAGTACTTTCTCAGAAACCGAGATCTGTTCCAAGTGTTTTTACTTTTTTTACTTTTTTCACTTATTTTATACCATTATAAGGTAGTACAAGAATTTAGACTTTTTCCCAATGTAGGGAAGTACTAAATACTGTTATAAACAAGTTCTAAGTTTGTAACAACACACAAAGGCTGACAGAACAAAGGTATCTTTGTTACAGTCAGAAATATAAACTAATACATGTACTGACAAAGAACTCACCTTTGTTATAGTCAGAAATACAAACTGATACAATAAAGGTAAAGAATACTAGTTATATATACTAAGGAAATGGTCCATACCTAAAGGGGAAAATAAAAGGGGGAACAAAAAAGGGGGAACATAATACATACTTAAAGGGGAAGACAAAGGAGATAGTATACATTTAGAAATGCAGGAAATATAGTTATAATAAAAGGGGGACTTGATACAAGTATAAGTGTGTAGCTTAGTAAGCTACTATGAGAATCTGTGTACAGGACATACAGTTCTGTACTAGGACAGGTGTAGAACTGTGTAGAAACTGTTGTAAGCTGTTAGGCAGGCTTACAGTTCTCTAATTCTCTTACTTTTAATAGTATAGAATACTCTTATAATAGACTCTTATTATATACTCTTTATAAACTTTATCCTTTTTGTCTTAATAACTTTTTAACAATCTAGAAAATTTTATTACTAAAATTTAATAAGAATTACATTACTTTGTATTTCTCCTATTATTCTAATACTTGTTATCTTTCTCCTTACTATTATATTATTTTATACTGTTTTTCTCAACTAAAATGTTTATTTATTTATAACAGATATTATTTGTAAGTTTGAAAGTATAGATAGAGACTATAAAAGACTAATATAGTAAAAAAATAAAGACACAAGTAGAACAGTACTAGGGAAGTGCTAAACACTGTTACAAATAAGTTCTGTTGAGTTCCAGGTTTACTAACACATACAGAATGTTGACAGGACAAAGGTATCTTTGTTACAATCAGGAATAAGAACTAGTCTATGTATATACAAGAACTCACCTTTGTTACAGTCAGGAATAAGAACTAGTACAACAAAGGTGAAAGATCAAAACTATATATACTAGAAATAAAACAAAGGTAGCTTATACCTAAAGGGGAAAATAATGCTAAAGAGAAAAAGGAGAGTGTATATACTTAAGAATAAAGAGTATGTGACTCAGACAATAAGGAAACATAGTGTGAAGACAAAAGAGGAAATGTGTGTGACTCTAGAGTCCACACTAAGGAGGTCTAGGCTTAGGAGAAGGTCTAGGTTCAGAAATGTAGTTCTGTACTAGGAGAGGTACAGAATAGTACAGAAGCTGTTGTAAGCTGTAGGGTAGGCTTACACCCTTCCCCCTTCTGAAAAAATGGTACCCTTGTATGAGTGTAAGGCTAACCATGTTTACAGTACCTTAAGAGCTGTTCTCTAGAGTTTAGACTCTGTCTTCTATTCATATCCCTACTTGCTCTATCCTTCCTATTCTACCAGATACTACCAACCTTGCCCCCTGTACCTTCTGTCCACAATCCACAATACTTTGTATACTTATTACTTTAGCTGACTTGTATAGAATCTAAGGAAGGTCTGATTAGAGTCAAGTAACTCTAGTGTATATTCTGACTTGTCTGGGTTGGCTACAATTATAAAGTACAGTCTGTTATAATACAGTATAAACTTTGTAGCATGTCTTAGTGTTTGTGTAAGATAATCCTAGCAGTAGTTGTAAGTAGAGAGTATAACTTGGTCTCCTACTGTAAAACAGTCTTCTACTACACAGTCCTGGTTGGCATAATGTGCCTGGCACATCTTTACTACTAGGAGGGTGTCTTGTGCCTCTGTAATGTTCTAGTGTATGTAGACAAGGAATTCTACAGCTTGTGTCTCTAGGGAATCTGCTTGTAATAGTTCTAGATACTGTGTAAGTAGTAAGACTATCTGTAGTAAGTACCTATGTTGTAATAGGAACAGGGAATAACTTGTAGAGGTATTGACTGTGTTTATAAGACAGAATTGTACTCATGACAGCTAGGCCTACTACCCCTACTGTTAGTAATCTACATAGAAGTGTAACAACTAGCTTACTGTTTTGTTAGTGTACTCACTAGTACTATCTGTTTCCAGGTAGTATACTGTCAACATTTTCAGCTTTACACCTATTTGTGTATACAATGTGGACCAAAATCCAGACAGGAACAAGTAGTCCCTATCAGAAACAATTTCCTAAGGTAAGCTGTTTTTACAATACCATTTATTGAAAAACAGTCTTACAAACTCCTCTACTATTATGTCCATTCTATAAGGCCCAATTCTAATGTCTGCTCTACCCAGCCTATCCATCATTGTCACTATTCTATTGTATCTACTGTCTTCTAGTAGTGGTCTGACAAAGTCAATTATAATACTCTCAAAACACACATTTAGGACTGAAAGTAAGTATAGTAGGCTAACAGGTTTTATAGTTGGGTTCTTGTTCTGTTAACACACATTGTATCCAGGAATGTAATTCTGCTCAAGATCCTGGCACATATTAGGCTAATAGTATGAGTTGTGTAGGGTAAGGTATGTTTTGTCTGTGTTAAAATGTCTCAGTTCATTATGTGTAAGGTAGTACAAGGTTTTGTAAACATTTCCAGTACTTAGAATCACTAACCAGTTGTCTAGGTATAGGAGCCTATAATCCTCCCAAGCTTCCTCCATACTTTCAAGGTTGGCACACAGTTTACAGCAGAATTTGTCTGTGTTGTAACTGTTCCTGATTGTTGTAAGGAGATCAGAATCTGTAGAGATCTGTATAGCTGTCCCTCCTAAGGCTTCCTAAGCAGGACTTCTGTTTTCTAGGTCAGAGTCAAAGTCTAGGTGGTAGGAAAGTATATCTGTGACTGTATTCTCCTCTCCCTTAATGTAATGTAACTTGTAGTCATACTAGGAGAGCTCCTCTATTCACTAGGCTTGTCTTCTAGACAGATCCTACTGTGTATCCAAGTATTTGAGAGTACAATGATTGGTATAGACATGAAAATGTACTCTAAGGAGGTAAACACACTATTTCTTAAGAGTACAGACAATTGTGAGGAGTTCCTACTCATGTACTAGGTAGTAACACTGTGTACTATTGTATTACTTAGACTCAAATACTATGAGTCTTATAGTTTTCCATAAGAATCTAATACTGAGAACTGCTCTGGTCCTAGAGTCACTCACATCTATAGTTACATTAATTTGCTCACCCAAGTCATAGTTCACAGAGGTGAGGCACTCTCTGCTAGTAACAATTGACTTGATAGCTTTAAAGGCCTACTAATGTTCTAGTTTCCATTCTAGAAAAACCTTGTTACAATCCTTACTTGTGAACAGGGAAAGAACTATAGTGTGTTCTACTAGGTGTAGAAGGTATACTACAATATAGTACAACAGTCTGAGGAATTTGCAGACATTCTTTAATCTCTAGAGCTGTAGCTATTGTAGGATACTCTTGACCTTGTCTAGGTCTGCTTCTGTCCCCTTTACAGTAATCAGGTGTCTAAGGAACTTAACCTCTGTACAGAATAACTTGGTCTTCTTCTGTGAACAGATGAGTTCTTTGTTACAGAGTGCTTGTATGACCTTTCTGATATTCCTAATGTGTTCTGCCTCAGACTGTAACTAGATAATAATGTCATCCAAGTAGACATAACAGATTTTCCTGATAAGATGCTCTAGTACCTTTGTAACCTACTACTGTTACATAGCTAGCACATTATATAACCCTATTAGTATGACTGTCCATTTGTACAACCTGAATAGAGTACTAATTGTAGTAAGCAGAATATGTTCTAGGTTCATACACATTTGGAAGAACATGTTAGTCATGTCAATCTTAGCATATATGTGTCCTTAGATAGTGTTATTCATGATCTTATTAATGTAGGGAAGCAGAGTACAATTACAGATTGTGTTACTGTTTAGGGCCTAATAATTGTATACTATTTACAGGAGATCTGTAGGATCTGCCTTTAGGATAAGGAACACAGGTGATGTGTACAGGCTTTCTAACCTGTACAAACAACCTGCCTGAGTATACTGATTAATGAGTGTGTGTCAAGCCTCCTAGTATTTTTACAGACAAGTGTAAGATTGTACAGCCACTACCTTAGAGGGATCTTTAAACTGTATTTTATGAGTAACACCTTTAGAAAGCTCTACAACTAGTAGCATTGTCTCTGGGAAGTAGTCCTAATACTGTTACTTTAGTTCCCTATCTAATGTCTCAAATCTCTCTAACCTAGCTAGGGTTTCTATGTGCTCCTAAACAACTGTAGTTAAAGTTGGTATAGGCTCTAAGGTTCTGTAAGTTAGCTGTAGGGCACAAACTGGTTCTACAATTTCCACTTTCATCAGATCATAGCTAGAATCCTTTAGGATAACTGTCTAGCTTTCTATATTAATAATAATCTAATTCTTCCAAAGAAAGGGTGTACTAAGAATCATTTCATTGTACAAGTTATTAACTACACAAGCTTTTACAACCTTTAATGTCCATTTCCAATCTGCTGACTACACTCATAGTTTCACCCACTCTGTAATCTGTTTCCCTGACTCTTTTACTGATTTGATTGTCAGAGTCATAATAATGTGTTTCTTAAGTAGGAATTACTTAAGACTCATTTAGGACACTAGTTTCTCATTAATCAGAACTGTAGAACAACCAGAGTCAATCAT